CTTCGGGTCCGGCTCGCTTCTGCCGCACACCTCTGGGGCTCGCACAACACGGCTGGAACTCAGTCCCACACCCGCGCCCGGCGCCGAGTTGGCAAACGTGGGACCCTGGCTTGAGCGCGGCGACCAGGCCGCCTCCCCGCCTGCGCCTGCTGGCTCCACTCCGCCGCCTGGGTCTCATCCTCGAGTCCTCAAAAACCTATATCCATCGGCCCACCCCAGGGCCCAGCCTCCCGGGGCGCCAAGGCAGTGGCCTCTACAGCGGGGTGCAGCGATGGCATTTTATCACAGCTCAGGGTCAACTTCGGGTCCAGGCGCAGCTTCCTGGCTGCCTTCATCTGTCCACCACCTTTGGGGGGCTGCCGGGCCACACCTGTCTTTCTCAGACTATTGCCTCAACTCAAGCCAGTCACAGTCTCCAACATTCGTCAGTACCACCCCCACCCCTGCAACGCTCAGGAAAGCTCTCTGCACCGATTTCTCCTTACCCTTCCCTTCTAGCTAGCTATCGGACTGTTAGCTTCTCGAGTCCGGGGATCTGGCCTTTTGTTTTCCTTACTTTAGTGAGTTGAACTGTTGCTTATCTAATTAAAACAGAAAAAACATAAAACAAATCCTGCTGTAGAATCCCCTGACAGTACTGTACATGCTGCATTTTGTTTGGGTAAGCCGACTGAGTATTTTACCGAGGAGGGTAAATACAGCTTTCATCAGATTCTCAAAGAAGTCTATGACATGAGGCCTACCGTGAATGTCAACTGTGATGATGTCCCTTTCCCTATTCCCGTGCCACTGCTCTGTTGTTTGCCATTGCTAAAAGAGGCTTAAAGTTCTGAATTAGTGGTCCCTCCCAACTCTGTCTGCACGTGGTCGGAATCAGCAATGGCGGTTTAAATATAAATGCCTAGGTTCCCTTCAGGGCCTCCACATCGGAGCCTGAGTTGGGGGCGTGGACCAGGACATGGGCCTTTTGCTGAAGAACCACACATGCCTCACAGGCCCGTGACAGCCATGCCTTTCTTGGAAGCAGGGTCCTAATTTCTAAAATCCTCTTCCTTTTCTCTGTGGAAGGACTGAGAAACCTTGTGTCACGTTTGATGGTTGTGAATTCCTTTCATT